TAGGGAAACCAAGTTTCTAGCAAGTTTCTTTCTGCAAATAATAGCATTAGGTATAAGTTTGTTGAGAAATTAAAATTAAGAAAACACATTTGCTTACTTGTTATCAGAGGATCTACTTTTACTTCATCAGAAAAACATGATTCATTATATTCACCCATGGCCTGCACACGAAGATAATAAAATCCAGAAGTAGCAATGACAGACGAGAAATTGCATTGTGTATCAGTGATGTTTTCACACCCAGGTACACTGAGCCACTTCATTGAGTAATCCTCATGAAGTTTCTTTAGATACCCCCTGCAAAAGATATTTTAATAGTATTTTGATGTGAGATTCTTGCACTTAAAAGAAAAAAAAAAAGCACATTCATTTGTGCTACATAAGGGGGTTTTTTAAGTTTTTTGAAGAATGGGCCTCTTATAAATGAAAAAAATTTATAACTAGGAGAAATTTCTAACTGAAACAATTACATTAACTGGATCATGAAATACAAATTAGTGCTTTAATCAAGCCTAAACAGAAAAATTATCTATCTGTTTGAAAAATTTTTAAAATCCAGATTACGATTTTTCATATAGTTCTATTAAGTTGACTATTTTTCTGTCATGCCAAAGGAATTCTAAAAGAATGCTAGCGGTATCTTTTCTTCATTTAGATACTGGCCACGATATTTGTGCAACAATTGGGTATTAAGATAGAGGATTATAGACATGATGGGTTTTTTCCCATGCTGGCATCTGACCAGAAGTAATCAAGTATGTTGACAACTGAAACCTTGAACGCCTGCATTTTTGCTCACTTCTAGTCACCTAATTTCTTTGTATTAAAAAAGATACAAAGTCACGCAAACTTCACAGCTTTGAAAAATGTTATTTAGTGTATATTTATTTAGTAGTCCATTCCATCAGGTACTTAACACTCTTAAAAGAAGCCTAGTACTCTGAAATTCTAACGTATGATGTTACATGCAATCCTTTCATAAGCCACGCTGTGTCCAGCTAAGGTGTCAGTGAATACATTAAGTCACTTTTGCTAAGTATTTCACTTTAACTGCTAATAACCATTTGACAATGGAGGTAATTTAGAATAACATAATCTGTTTAAACAGATAGGGAAATTCTTTAACTCACAGGAGATACTGTACATTGTAGCTCACATGTTGTTTATACCGATTACTCCAGTGCAGATGAAATTTCATATTCAAAGCAAGAACCCTCACGTTTGTTGCACAGAGTGGATCATTCACTGCTCAAAATGAAACCCACAGTTACTGAAAAGCTTCATATTATGTACAGCAATTTCTCACTGAAAGGGCATTTCTCATGTAAATGGTCAAACTATACTTTCAATAATTAAAAAAAGTTGTTTTCATCATAAAAATGGCAAATCAAAGTCTGTAATATATACAGCATATTAACCATTTAGTAAAAAAAGTTAAAAGTAATTCAGAAAAAAGTACAGAAACGTTGATATTAGTAGAAATAAACTGGTTCAGCAAAAATTCAATGAGAAAAAATATGTAAAATACGCATGCATAAACATAGAGTAACTTTGATGTACCGTCTATTCAATCTAATGTTTGACTTTCTTCACTCCCACAGTGTTATTTTTTTCCTGAAATATTTTTTTAAAAGCACTTAAACTAACACCTGAACAGCGCACAAAAGAATTTAAATTTAGACAGGCAAAACAAGCAACTGGTGGCAAACTGCCACTAAGCTATTCTTCAGAATCTGTAATAATAAATTCACCAAGGCTTGCATAAAACTAGTATTTTAAGTTTAGCTCAACTTTATATGCATTCATTTAGTGCCAAACATACAAAAGACTTTTTCTTTTGCCTACCTACACATCCCTTTCCTCCTGATTCAAATTCACAGATTAAAAAATATTCAGTTTTCCAAAATACAGATACTAGTTTTTGCCATCTGAATTAATGGACAAAATTTTCCTCAGAGCAAAAACCTTTCTGTACCATTAAAACTCTAATATTCATAGTGACATATTTTATATTGACTTAAAATAGAAAATATACATAACTGTCACGATTGTTATTAAACCAAAATTAGTAGGGACTTGGCACTTCCACATATTTCTATTGCTTTAGAACAGTTTACTTTCCAACAGCTGAAACTTGAGCAATCATTTTCAGATAAAACAATTTTACTTTGTACCTTTATGGGTAGTTTCTACACAACGAATGGGACTGAATAAGCCTTCCTGTGAGTCCAAAGGAAGAGTGGCTTGAACCTTCAAACAATAGGTAGTATCTGGGGCAAGGTCATAAATTACATCTGTAGGAAAAATACTTCGAGTTCTCAACTGTAAGAAACAATTGCAAACAGCATATTAGTTTAACTGTTCTTACTGATGAGCTGAGTTTTTAAAGTATCTTTTTTCTTCCCCAGGCTTCAGCCCATATTTATAATATTCCATCAAAACGCTAAAATAGGGAATGCAGAACAATACATGAGCTGAATAAATGCTAAAGGAAAGCTTCCAACATAGCCACGTGACTGAGAGGAAGGAATAAGTCATGCTCCTTTAACACGTGAAAGTGGGGAGGGATTGTGGCACTGCCTCTACATGACACATAACTCACCACACAAATATTCAAGCACATACTCCAAAGAGAAATAGTACACTTCCAACCCTCAATTCATTGAGTGAGCACTCCCCCTTCCTGCTACCTCCCTGCTTTTGGTTTAGCAGACTTTTCAGTGACTGACCTTTGTACACAGCTTGTTCTTAACTTAAAGCTTTCTTTCCCCTTTGATGTGTAATGATTATAACTAGGTCTTCCAGACAAACACAGATATCTCTTCAATTCCTATCCTAATCTAGTTGGCAACCATTCCCCTAAAAGGTTAAAAAAAAAAAAAAAAAGACAGCCAGTTTCTACCTTGGTCTTTACAGACTAGCTATATCTCTGTATGAGATGCAACTTACGGCTTAGAAACTAGTTTGTGATTACAAGACTTCAAAAGAATCCCTAAAACCCTCTAACCTACAGCATAAAACCAAGTAACTTAATGACACAGGACGGTGCACTGACAGCTGTCGTCAAGCTACATGATGTCACCAAGATCAAGTTGGCCTCTTACCCCTCCACTCCCCTATATCTATGCATTACTGTAAATGACTCTTGCCACCACCTTGAACCCTTTCCCCTCCCTGTTCCTGCTGGCTGAGGGTGGCTCCTGCTCCAACACATGCGAGATGGTTTCACTTTGTTCCTCGTGCACTGGAAAGTGGCTCCAGCATTTAACAGAAACGCAAAACTCTTATCACAGAAATATCTAATACAAGTAAGCTTCTAGTAAAAATAAAACAAAAAACCCCAAGAAAATGCCCTCTCTCAACTTTTACACTGCATAGCAACAGTTATACAGTTACATAATTAAATAATACCATTTTAGAGGATTAATCAATTAAAGTACTTCTCTGACAGTCATCTTAAGATTAGAAAGGGGGAAAAAAAAGTGGTCATACCTCTGCATTTGATGAATTTTTCCAGATAACTAGATTATATTTAAAACTATGAGCCACCCACATTTTTTGGGCTCGATTTGCTTCTGGAGGAGAAACTTTAATTTTTATTACTCCATTTGTAGATTGCAACTCTATTCCTGGGGGCCCAATCTGAGCTGCAAATATTAAAAAGGAAAAAAAAAAGTCTAGCATGACTATTTAAAGAAAAAACACCAAGAAAAGTCACTTACATTAATAAATCTACAATAACGGCCTGTAGTATTTTATTTTTCAGTCTTCTGAGGCAGTAACAAGAACACAGTAACTGCCTCTAGGATCTTAGTTTTCATGAATCACGGGCAGTATCCAATAGAAATCTAACCTAACAACCAATCACCATTACCTGGTTCTAAAAGCAGTAGAGTTAAAATGCAATATTACAAGAGAATGTTTTCTCAGATCTGCAGTGAAAAAATCAGTATAAGTTATTCTAAAACATGCAAGGCAAGAAACCTAGCTCAAACAAATCAATCCAACATTGAGGGAAGGCTTCAGCACCGTACTATTCTGTAACTACCGAAAAGGTACAACGTCAGCAGAAAACTGCCAGAAAAGCCCAGTCAAAGATTTTTCTGAAATCTAGAAAAATACAGAATGACAGAGAAGTCCATCAGAAAAACATCATCACTTTGAAGACTTCCCCTTTCCAGAAAAGGGAGAATCATAAGATTTCATGACCTGCATATACATTACATTAAGGTTGAGAAAACCACTAGTTTACGTTATTATGAGCAATGGAAACCACACACATTTTTTCCACAATAATGTGCTGAAGGACATTTAACTAAAAATGTTACAGTATATATGGAGCTCATACCTATAAAGTATGGAATCATTTCAAAAATGTCAGACCATGGAGATGCCTCTTCCCCTCTTTCAGCCCTTATACGCAGATGATGTGTATCATAGTATTCAGTTACTGCTGAGGAAAAGTCACATTCCCTGCCAGTAACATTTTGACACCCAGACAACTCCTTCCATTCTGTTTCATTTGGTTCAAAATCTTCAAACCTGTAAGAAAGAACCCCCCCAAATAAAAATCAATACACAACTTTAAATCTTGAGATTATTTTTCCTTTTCTTCTTAATGCTAATAAATGTCATGCCATTTAATGCTGTTTTATCACCAGCATCAGTGTAATCTTACTTAGTTACCCTAGAATTCATATTGCCATTTAATTCATTCATTTAATCGATTAATTTATTAGTTTAGCCTTATTACCAAAGGTTAACTATTGGTCTGCCAAGTCTGAGACCAGTTTGCTTTATTCACCATGTAAACACACAATGTCAGAAAACAGCAACAAAGAACTGTCAAAATCCCTAGCACCTAGATCTAGCCTGTCAATGATTTTACAATTCACTGGAAGAAATTTAAAAGTCTTGATGGCGAGAAGTGTTTAAAAGAGCACATAAACAGAAAAAACCCCCAATTCTAACATTAGCAAGGAAGGGAGATTAAGGGAAAAAACACAAAGGAGAAAACTGGAGTTCAGCAATAAGTGTTGGAATAATTAGCTTTACAGACGCTATTTTTCTTATGAGTTAACAGGCATCCATACATTAAGAGACATTTCATACAGAGATTAAAAATATCCTGACCAAAAAAGGAGAGGCAGAGACTTGAAGCAGTAATTGTTTTTCCTCAAATCCTAGCTTATCTTTCAGACCAGTATTATTTTTTTTTAAATGAAACTATTTTCAAAGCAGCTGTTTCTCATCTACACATTGAAGAAGACAAGCTACTTTTAAAAATCCAAAATAGTACACTAGGAAATTTGAAAATCAAGAACTTCTCATGTGATTTTATCTTAGAAATGTTTTTAACATTTATTTGTTACAAAAGTGCCACAAAATACCAAATGTATATGTATATGCATGCGTAAGTACTGACATACGAAACAACTGAAGAAAGCCAAGCAAACATTTAAGAATAAAAATTAAATTGTTTCATCTGGTGATTAAAATTTTCAGATAAGAAATCTGGATTCACAGACACTGACAAACTATTTGAAAGCTACGCTAAAAATGCTCTTAAATTATCTGCTTATGTGTGGCCACAATGTAGCTTTATTAAAAAAAAAAACAAACAACAAAACAACAATGCAGAGAATAAATAAGTCTAAATACTGTATTTCTAAGTGTGCCAGGTAATCCTCTCAAAGAGGCACTCTACTATTAAGCATTATTACCAAGTATGTTCTGCATTTGTAATACATCACTATCAGTGAACAATCTAATTTTACATATAAATTAGACAAACAAAGAACAATACTAGGATTCCACTTCATTTCAACACTTCTTCCTGGCCTCTAATTTCTGGATTTCAGAAAGTCTCTAGAAGTTTTACATGGCAGGATCAAGAAGCGCAGTAATTAATTTATACGCTCTTCTACACAAATAAGTGTCAGACATTTCTGGCTCAGAATAAAGTTACTACTTACCACCGGTATTCTGCTGAAAATGTCACATTGGTGTCATTCCCTGTGTAGTTCCACCTTAGAGTGAAATTTGTATTTACAGCATAGACCCGAATATCCTGTGGACTCTTCAGATTAGTTTGGCCTACAAATGTATATAAAGATTGGGATAAATAATTTGCACATAACTTAACTAACTTTGATAAAAAGTAGGAGAGAGTTACAGTGAAATGAAATAACAACAAACATAAGAGTTAAGAAAACCCCACGCTACTCAAACGGCACTTCAATACATAGCTCAGGAGCTGTGCATCAGGTAGTTCCTTTGCCGACCCGACAAGCAGCTTTCTTCTGTGCTTTAAGTCTTTTTCCTCACACCCCCTTAATAAAAGAATACACAGTCGTAACATTCAAGGCCCGTGTTCACTGTCATGAATTGATTATAAGCAGAATGCATTTAAATAAGTATTTTATTGGTTGGATCCAACATCGGGATCACAGCTGTAAAGTGCTAGGGATTGACCTAATGCATCATTTCACATCTGTGGAACAGACTGAGCACAGCAGACTTGTTTTATGTCACGTGTTACTGCCATAAATTCAACATCTTGGACACAAATCTCTCTCAGTGAAGCTTCACCGCATAGCAGGATCTTGTATCTTGCTGATGGTAGTCCCATGTTTTCTTTTACACAAAGAACAGTACACGAAATGACTTATGGAGGGCAAGGGCTAAGTCTCAGGACACATAAGAATGCCCATAACATCAAAGAAAGGACCAGATAATGAGAAGAGAAGTCTGAACACAGATTCCCAACAGGAGGAAAGCATGCATGCTAGAGTGATACGCAGGATAGGGCTCTCTCCTCTTTATTGTCCACCTTTCAAAAATAATTACTACAAAAAAACACCCAAAACCCAACTGCCTCAAAATTGCCTTATATTCCACTTCCCAAAGAAGTTTGGCTTTTTTTTTCCATTAACTTTGAGACATGCAAAATCCTAGGTGTCCCATTTGGTATACAATTCAGATATCGGAGCACATTTGACAGTAATAATGTTGTAGGAGAAGGAATAAATCCAATACTTAGGAAAATTAACATTTATCTGACTATTCAGAAGGTACATTTTGCTTTGAATTATTTCACAGAATCACAGAACGTTAGG